GGGGGGGGGGAGACATGGGATGGGAGGGGAAAGGAGAGAGGAGTAGGGAGGGTTTCCCCTTTGTCAGGGCGAGACCTGTCTTCAGAATCTGGAGCCTCCTCTACAGTGCAGAGAGGCAACCAACCGGGTCGCCCCAGGAGAAGCCCAGGGATGAAGCAAGAACTGCCAAGTGGGCAAGGATGCCAGGAAGAGGGCTGCTCCTACCCAAGGCCCATCTGTATTTTGGAGGGTCCATGAGGCCTCCCAGCCACCCTCCCTGGCAGCCAGCTGTTGGCTGGGAAAGAGCAAAGGAAGTAGGGGAATGGGTGTAGAGGGACACAGTGCCTGGACCTGCTGAAAGGCCTCAGACATGTGCGTGAATGTGCCCATGTGCAGGGTAGGATGTGCGTATCCCAGCACAGGGTAGGATGAAGACCTTCTGCATGGGCCCCACCCTCCAAGTCCACCCCACCCCTTGATGTGTGTGGGAGCACCAGGATAGGCCACCTTCTCTGCCTTCAGTGTTCGGGACTGAAGGGAAAGGAAAGCCAAGGTGAAGGTCCTGCTGCCCATCTCATCTCTTCACTGGGCTCTACAAGCCAGGTAACCTGCTTCTGAAAATGGTTCCCTGTCCTGGTGTATATTGGGGATCTAGGGTTGTGGGAGAGGCTACTGGTCTGAGGGCACTGGTCACAGGCTGTGGGCTATCTGGGGACTTCTGACTGCCTGAAACAGGGTGGGGGTAGCCCCATGGGAAACAGACCTATTTGATAGCATAGCCCACCCACCCGTTGTCTACCCACCCCACATCCCTCAGGAATTCTACCAGTCTGGGGCATGTGAGCAAGGCATGGGGCTAAGCCAGACCCCAGGAGCTGAGCAATTTTCTACTCTGAGCATGCATGCGCACGTGAGCATGCACAGAAGCATGCCCCCATGCCCAGCCTCGCCACCATTGCTGTCCTCCGCTTTCTGGAGGGGATGCGGGGGCAGCAGCACAGACCTTCTGTTGGGCAAATACCATGTGTCAGGACGTGAGGGCCAAGGAGGCCCATGTAGGGAAGATTTGGGATGTATTCCCTCCTCTAGATGCTATAAATACATTAGCACTTGAACCAACTGGAGGGCTGTGGGTAATTTAGGATGCACAGACGCTGTAATTTAACTCACAGCATCTCCATGTGAGAGCATTAAAGATGTAATTAAGATGTTTACACAAAAAGAGTGTGAGTCTGTGACACTTGGGGTGTGAAACACCAGGAGGGACAGGATGGGTGAAGGGCTGTGTGGGGGCCTGGCATAGTCACTTGGAGCCCAGCTATGAGCTGGCAGCTCCATTGGTTTTCCTTGAACTATCTGATGAAATGCCTCTGGCCCTGAGTTCAGGCTGCTGTGGGGCCTCGTGTCTCAACTGTGGGATGGAGTCACAATGCCTACCATCCCCTTGGGTGGAGAGGCAAAGTGGACAGGACCTTGTGGGACCTGAGGAAGGAGGGGGCTTGAGCCCCAAGGACTAGGGGGAGGTGTGGTGCCTCAGGATCCATAGGAACTGGGTCTGAAACACAAAAGGGAACACAATAATGTGGTCTTTCCCAGATCACAGGGTGCAGGGAGTGGGTAGAGTTGGGAAGCCTTGAGGTCATCTGTGTGGAAACCACCTACAGGGTTCAGAAGGGTTTGGGGAGAATGACACCAGGGTGACCAACTCTCCTGGTTTTCTCAGGACTGCCCAATTTTAGCATTGAAAATCCCACAAACCAGGACTCTAAGTGATATCCAGATCCTCCCCTAAAGACCTGAGCCTTCAGGCCAGCATAGGAAACAAGGACAGGGTGAGCAGCAGTTCCATGGCGGAGGGCTAGGCTGGGAGCTGGGGTTGCAGGCCAGGGCCCTGGGTAAAGGTGATGCCCCAAGCATTCCATAGGCCACCCTCATTGGGGTCACACAGATGGGCCTGTCAGTGATGACCCTGGTCTCACAGACTAGCAGAAGGATTCTTAAGGGTCATGGGGTGAGAGGAGAGGGATGGATGGGCTGTGTGCCCCCCATCCTGCTGGATAACCCCTCAATCCAAAAATGTGGGAGCTACAGAAGACTCAGTGTCTAAGGACCCTAAAAGAATGAGGCCTATGGAGTAAGGCTAGCACCTAGGGACTAGGGCCAGGATGGAGGCTCCAGGAGGACCCTGTCGCCATTCTCTCCTGCTGCCTGCTCCATGCCCTTTCCGAAGGGTGGGCCCAGGTAGGTGGACAGTACAACTTTTTGTGAGTGACAGGGCCACTGCCTCATCCCTATCCCTTTGCAGATACCTCCTACCCACCTTCTATTTGCTAGCTCTCTCTCCCAATCCTGGAGGAGACCCAAACTCCCTGCACATTCCTAGGTCTTCCACAGAGCATGGGATCAATAAATATCATGGTGGAAGGATTCAGTTGATGTGTCCTTGTGACCATGGGCCTGGCGGGCTGACCAGAACTCTCTTCACCAGAGAAGGAGGCCAATGGGGTGAGAAAGTCACCTGCCTGCCCTATCGCTCCTGAACTTGTATGTTAAAGGAGGCCCTTGTGAAATGCCCCTGCCACACACACACATACATCGCTAAGCGAATCCTCTATAAATGAATAGCAACCAGGGCTTCAGGGTAAAAGCTGCAGCAGTTTGCAGTGGGTGCTATCAGCGTGGACGTAGATGGGCACCTTCAGAGGAAGCCACCTTGTTTAGTGAAGTGAAGTGTCAACTTCCAGCCAAAGTGTATACAGTAACCCCACTGCCTGGCTGCAGGCAGACATCAAGGACACCTTCAGAATGTAAAGGTCGTTCTTGTGGAGGTGAGCTCAGAAACCAGTAGCAGTTTAACCTTGCTATGGATTCCTTCCAGTAACATTACCGAGCCCAGCACTGTGATCCTGTCAGTGAACCAGCTCCATTGGTTGGTATCTGCACCTCCATTTGAGATGGGAGGA